ACTGGTAATCATTCCAAACACCTTCGTAATCACCATTAGACTCATCCAACTCTTTTCCCAACCATCTGTACTGTACACGGATTGACACCCAAACATTCTGAAATGTTCGTATTGGAGCTTCCGGCACGATTGCCAAACAGTACAGTATGCTATTTTCGAATTTTTGGAGGAGTGAATTGCGTCATGGTGCTCTTATTCTCACTGACGGAGCGTGGGACCACTTCTTAATTGCTGGTGTTCCCAGGTCCACCCTGAGTCAGTGTGGTAGCACATCTCAGGGTCTCAGCTATGGGCAAAATAGTTAACCCCTCAAAAGGAGTCAATACACGATGAAAGTATAAAAATAAGTTTTAATACTAGCAAAAATTTTCTGGATAAATTATTACCAGCAATACATTTTTGAAGAAAAAAAACTTATTACCTGCAATACATTACTACCAGCAATACATTTTTAGAAAAAAGAATTACCTGTGATAACAATGTCGCCAGCATTAAATAGCCCATTGTGGTTGATATGACGTAAAACAAACCAAACCAAACCAAATCAAACCAAAGAATGGTCGACCAGAATCTGGAAGAATGTATTTTTAAGGCAATCTATAATCAATCTGGGAAATATCAAGAGACAGACCGTTAATAATAAATACAATAAATTAAATCAGTTCACTTAACATATCATAATCTTGCGATTGAGTTTATCATCTAGTCTCCTATAAAAGGGTTTAATTCCGCGAAATTCAGAATAGAAAAAAATCATAAGTAAACTGATATATATATATATATATATATATATATATATATATATATATATATATATATATGTGTGTGTGTGTGTGTGTGTGTGTGTGTGTGTGTGTGTGTGTGTGTGTGTTTTGAATAATAAGAAATATTAAAAATTAAAATTTTCAGACACACTGGGTTGTATTTTTTGTTTTATTATTTCAATTAGATTCCTCGACTAGTTTCGGCCAACATGGCCATCATCAGGAGAAAAATAATTTTCTCCTTGCTGGTAGAAATGAATGTCTAGATGGAGAAAATGAACTTTATCTGTAGTTTTCATTTTTTTTTTTTAATTTTTTATCATAAATTTTGGTCAGTCTTTGTGTTGGTCAAACGGTCTCTTTTAAGTTGTTATTTGAGATAAGAGCTGGATGGATTCATGCTGCTCTGAATTCCCTTGGTTATTTTGACATTTTTATTGGTTCCTGGAAATGGGATGTCTCTCTGTTAAGTGTGTGTTATTTAGTTCTTAGGGAGTGAGTATGATGTGCGTCAGTGTGTATATTAGTATGGGTGTTTGTATAAGTGTGAGGCCTTACCACTTTCGCAAGCATGTCTGTCTTGCGTGGCTGAGAAATGCGGTTTGGGCCTGATTTGTAGGGTCATATATTAATTCTACCTGTGTTGTTAAATTTGTGATTAAGCCCCTCTGGATGGAGTATTTTGAGGCGCAGAATCCATTTATCTTCATGGTCTTCTAAAATTTTTCTAATGTTATCTGTTAACTTTTCTATTTTCTCAATTATAGTGAATTTGGCATGGGTTTTAAAATCGTGTTTTGTAGGCGGAAATGTTGTTCTACAGGTAGGTAGAGTGAGAGAGAGTGATAATGCATTGATTGATTGATTCGTTTTCCACGGCTTATCAACACTTTGCAAGTTATTTAAAGCCAGAAAATAGTTCTTGATTATAATATTTTTTTAATAATTTTAATATATAATAATGATTTAGTCTTACTAATTAGACCATGCGAAAGTTAATGAGAAAAATTCAACTAAACTTGTGTCTCTCTCTTTCAAAATTGTACAAAATTAATGCTTTATTCATCAATAGACTATGGTTACTGATTTCCTTTCGTATTGGACTCAATCATCGGTTTGCTTTACGTTAATTCAGGTATGTCATGGAGTACACGGTTTACATTTTATAGAAGCAACTTTGAACGTCGTTCCAAATGAATTTGAATTGCCTTGCGACTTATACTGATTACCTTGTGTCTTATACTCTGAGTTGAGTTGTTGCTTTTCTATTATGCATTACTGATTTCCTTATAGAAATCCGTCCTGGGTAAGACGATAAACTACATCCAACTGCAATGCTTCTGATTAGGAGTTTTTTGGGGAGTGTGGAACTTGCTGATGTTCCCGGGTCCACCCTGACTCGGGGTGGTAACACCTGTTAGGGTCCTATCTATGGGCAAATAGTTAGGCCCCAAACAGGGCTCAAAACACTATGAATTTGTAAAAATAGGTTTTAATACCAGCAATACATTTCTGTGAAAAAAATTACCAGCAATAGATTAAAAAAAAAAACTATTACCAGCAATAAAAATCTTGTCGGCATTAAATAACCCATTGAGGTGGATCTATCTATCTATCTATCTATCTATCTATCTATCTATCTGCTTTTAGGCTGATGACTCGACTATTTATAAGTAAATCAAATAGTTTCGATAAAGTAAAACTGGCCACTGATCGCAAAAATGACCTTCAGTCTGTTGTTAGCTGGGGCAAGAAATGGGTTATAAAAGTTCAACGCTTCCAAAACAAAACTGCTGTCTTTGAGTCATCTTAGAGAACTATTTTTGCCATTCCATCTGTATGGCTGATGCTAACTTCTAGTAGAGCAACTCATTGTCTTCACGTCTAACTTTTTACACTGACATTAAGTGAAATGTTAATATTTAATCAATTGTTAGGTTAATAGATAGATACATTCTAGCGAGAAGTATTGTCTCGCACGACACAGTGAACTAACTTTCTTAACAGCTGGCCTATCTATCTATCTGTCTGTCTATCTATCTATCTATCTATATTAAAAAATACAGACATACTTTGTCTATTTATTTTTATAATAATCTTTCCTAGTTCTCTAATTATCTTCAAATTCTCAAGGCCCTATGAAAACAAGCAACCAACACAAAACAAAGATTATTATGAGTATAGTAGCAATGTTTTAAAATGTATTTGAGTTGACTAACATGTAACATCCTTTTGAAATTTACCACGTTGCAACATTACTATCCCTGTTTATCGCCCTTTGATTTTGAAGACTTATTTACAAAATATCGTAACCACAACGGTTAATTTAAATAAAAAATATTTATAACAGAGCGCGTTTGCGCGTATTTGCGAAATCACTGTCACAGTGATTAAGGTTACACTAACTTTGTCTTCGTAATTCCCCACTGTGGATGGTCTCTGAGTAGATCGAAAGTACTTGGGTTAACAAAACATTTCAGCTTAACATCAAGAAGCTAATTAGAGGAGTAGAAAAGATTATTACAAAAATAGACATAATATGTCTATAATATTTAATGAAACATGCTTGAATGAAGATATGCGGCCTAAATATACAAATATATATATATATATATATATATATATATATATATATAGAGAGAGAGAGAGAGAGAGAGAGAGAGAGAGAGAGAGAGAGAGATGATAATATTATTTGGTAATCCGTATGGAGAATTTCAAAGAGAATATAGAACCAGAGAGAGTTCAATGTAAGAACAGAGGAAATGATAATTATGAAAACGGAGACTTTAGAAATCCATGGTAATATTTTATTTCGCAAAACCAATACTTCAGTTTCGTCTCTTCAGACCAAAATCAGTTTGAACAAACTGATTTTGAAACTGATTTTGGTCTGATGAAACAAAACCGAGGTATCGGTTTTGCGAAATAAAATATTACCATGGATTTCTAAAGTCTAGGCTTACATATATATATATATATATATATATATATATAAATAAATATATATATATAGGTAGTAATCCGTTGGTATAACCCAAGCGAGTCCTATTAACACAATATAGAATTGTTAAAACTGACTCACAAACAGCGCTCAATGTTTATTTTCATTAAACATAGCAAATTTTTTCGTACAATTGGAATTAAGATAATATTAGCTAATGACCAAATCCACCTACAAATTTTAAAATTTAAAATTCGCAGGATTTTTCAAACTGTTTACAGTGTCAGTTTGTAGACGGAGACTGGTTAGTTGTGGAAGGGGGGGAGAGAGAGAGAGAACGTTAGATGGGAGTGAAGATGACAGAAGAAGACATAGAGGAAGTAATGAGGGGTAATATATTATGGAGGTAGGAGTGGGCAGGAAGAGAGAAGGGGGAACCCGCCTGTGAATTTTAAAATTCGTAGGTGAAAATAGTTATTAACTAATAGTATCTTCATTCCAATTGTACAATATATATATATATATATATATATATATATATATATATATATATATATATATATATACAGTGTAACCCGGATATAAGAGAGATTTTCTCTGGTCCCAAATTAGAGCCTGTGTTAATGTATATAAAATAGACCAAACCCGGATATAAGAGAAACCCGGATATAAGAGACTTCTCCGGTCTCGACAACTCTCTTATATCCGGGTTACACTGTATATATATATATGTATATATATATATATATATATATATTATTTGTGTGTGGGGGGTGTCTGTGTGTGTGTGTGTGTGTGATGTGAAAACTAAGAGGAAATCGTGAAAAGTCGAATCATGAGAAAGCGGATGGGAATAGGTAAAGTAGAGAATGTTTGGGGTGGGTGGATGGAAGACGGCGAACCCAAAATTACTTTGCCCGCAAAAACCTTGAAAATAGAGCAAGAATAAGACAATAAAACAAACGAGCATCAGAGAAAAAAAAAAAAAAAAAACCAAAAACAAAAAAACAAAACAACCCCCCCAAAAAAAAAAACCCAAAAAGCAAAAAGAAATATGTAATAAGCGGGATAAAAATACAGAATGCAAACGAACAAACAAAGTCACGTCGAAAAAGATGTGGAATCAAAGCAAAGAGGAAAAGGAAAGAAAAAAGAGAAAAAAAAATGGTGATACCCCCCCCTCACATATACAAAAAGCAACAACAGCAAAAAATAGACAGCAAAAATTAAGAAGAAAATGAAGACAAATTCATACCCAGGTGCGCCCTGTTCAGGAGTCATGTTTAATTTTCCAC